CCCCCCCCCCCCCCCCCTCTCCATATGGCTTTTATGAAACCAGAAAGCTATAGTCATGCTGCAGGAAGACTCATCTCTACCTAGCAGTATGCTTTTTAACCGTACCCTGGAGACAAACACATACAAACACAAAAAGCTCTTTGAATACATAGTCCTGGTGGTAACTGAAGTTCTGCAAGGTCACAACTCCAGAGGCTGCTCAACCAACCACTGAGGGGCGTGGACGGAACTTGATTTGTGTGGACTTCAGCGAGTAAAAATTGCCCCTAAAAGAGTTCCATATGATGCCTCTACCCTTGATCTTGTGCTCCCCTTTGATGTACTCGCCATTCAGGTTGGACAGGTGGCAGGCTTCGTACCACCAGCCTGATTTGAAATATTCAGCACAGCTTCTCTCTTTACGACTGGACTTGTCGTTGTTCTGGTCTTTGGTAGAGAAGGCCTGGTCCCTCTGTGTTAGGAGTGAATCCCCTAGGCAGATAGAAGTCACAGTTAGATACCTTTTAAGGCTAGTGTTTGTAGCTCATGAGTGTCATCCTCATCCTTTCTTCATTACTTAAAGAGCCTCTAACGAAGAACATGTAAATCAGGGGTTCCAGCTTTACTGGCTGCATGCTTGTTCAGGTTGGGGCCTTCACTAAGTAATAAAGCCAGGATAAGCCAAGGTATTTACTTCTATAAAAAAAAGTCAGCAATGGTAGTTCCCATAATATTGTAAACAGTTTACATCTGTATTACAGATCTACAAATCTGTTTCCGCTCTCCCTATTTATTTTCAATCATGGTTTTACAACATTATTAGATAACAAATGACTTACAGAGCACTAGGGGTATCTAAAAAGACAGTGCAACAGAGCAGCTTGTTTAAAAGCTCTTTTGACTAAGACTGAGCATTTTCAGACTGGCTAAACCCAGGCTGTCCTAGACCCACCCCAACCTGTGCCAGTGAAAGGAGAAGCAGCACAGTGATTAGATCGTGCTTCTTATCAGCAGGGAACTGATTGGGTCATTGTGTTGTTTCTTCCTCTGATAATCCAGCCCTGCTTTACCTGAAGCCCTCCAGGAACTGCAGAAGGTTAATACCAGATCATGTCCAGGTACATACCTTTTGAAGCCCGTGTAGCATGCATACGAAACACCCAAAAAGTGAACAAAAAAGTGCATGTGAAACACACACAAAAAAGTGCGCAGAAGGGGTGCTATCTAAAGGGTCCATCTCCCAAAGAAACAGGGCTCATCCCTGGACCCCCGGGGCGCAAAGCTGCTGACGGGGACAAGTCACTTGTGTACACCTGGCCGAAACCAGGCGGACCCATTCCTCATGGTCGACAGAAGCTGACCACCAAGTACTAGGTTGAGGGCTCCCCCGAAGGGAGCCTGCCAATTAAGGGGAGGAAGGAACCTGAGGGCCACACATTCTCCCCCTCGACTCCAGGGTAGGCCCGAAGACCCACACCCACCATCCTGTGGAGTGAAAAACACATAAAAAATAGTTAAGGGTGCACATACAAGTGAGAAAAATAATTTAGAGTGCCAGTGTATATACAATGGCTAGGCCTTGCGGCACGATAATAAAAACTACCCCTGGTCTCAGCAAAAAGGCCTAGCCCAAGAGGTGATGTGCAACAAAAGCAATAGGTGTTGTGCCAAATTGCCTTTCACACCAGTGGGGTCCCACACCCACAGTGCTACTCGAGCACCCCTGGGTCACCACTCCAGGGGGCGTTAACACCACAGGCTTCATGCCTTCCCAGCCCATAGCAAAGAGAAGGTAGACCTGTCCAAATCAGGAGGGATTGGGTCCTGCCAGATCCTAGTGCCGAGAATTACTCCCTGACCCCCACTCTTACGTGAGTGGACGCTCATTCGGTATCCTCCCATTGCCAGGGACTTTTAGGAACCCCCATCAACAGGCAGGGTGCTCAGATTCCAGCCAAACCAACCATAAGGCCAGTACAGCGGCTCCTTTCCCCTCCTGCACTGATAAGAACAGATGCTACACTTGATCTTAGCCACAAGGCCGAGAAGCGATGTTCAGGTACTTATACTGCTTGCATTTAAAAAATTAATTTAATGATATATTAGTGATTACAGAATTTTATATATCTGCCCAGAGTTCAGCTTTAACCAGCCCAATTATTAGAGAGGCACAAGATGTGGGAGTGAGTGGGACCAGATTCTGAATCTCCACCATGGCTATGTTTACTTTCCTGAGCTCCTTGGATTCTTGCACTAAATAGGCAACTTTACCAACTTTTAGTGGTTAGGGTAACACATGCAGTAAAAGCTCCACTACTGAATATACATAATCAATAAAAACGCAAAAAGCTATGGGTGCCGAGATTCCGTGTGCCAAATTTCTTTTGCCACAATTCCCTTACTGAAATCAACCAGGTAAATAAAAGTGTAACATGCTAAGGCTTTGTATGGATACCATTATATCCCTGTAGGATACTACAGAGGAAACAGTTACCTGCGGTGCCCCCCGCGTATGAACCATAGCGTAGGGTGTACTGTTCCGCTTCTCTCTCCACTTGGAAGTTGCTATAAGTAGCATAGGTACAATTCCCATCAAAGTCTTCTAAATCGAAGCGCAGATCATATATCCCTGTGAAAGACAGTACAAGATAACAGGAGGAAGGACAGGACTAGGTAATTCATTTCAAATTGCCCCCTCTAGTGGTCATAAATAGCATTGACCCAGTTTGACAGGTGCTATGATTAAACAGGCTGTATGTCTAGCTAAAGTTGGACTGTCGTAGCAAAGGGATTCTTTAAATCTCTATTGGTTTATAATATGTTCTTGTTAAACATTACAAAAGTTACAAAACTGTCAGTTCACATGCTGTGTGTTCTAAAATGATGCTGCAAGCGGATGTGCTTTTTTAACACAAGTGAATATATTTTTGTTATCTTGCTGCTGCTGTACATATGCTGTCAGGCCTATGATCTATTGTAGGTATGCTGTCAGGCTTATGATGATCTATTGTAGGTAAATGCCCCACTCAAGCCCATTGGGCCAAAGTGCACAAGCAAGACCAGGGCTGATAGAGCAGGACGGGTGTAAACCTCAGAGGTGGCAGCAGCGCTGGATGGAAATAGAGGGGATGGAGGGCATTAGCGTAGTGTAGCTTAAATGTGGTGGTTTGGTGGATTTACGTAGACTGATTATAAACGTAGAGATGCCCTTTCAGATTGGATAGTAGTACTGAGAGAAGAGAAGACTGTGATTATGGGCCTCAATCTTAAAATGTGAGTTACTTGGCTGTCATTGGCTTACATTCTGTTGTGGTCATTGATCTGTAACAAACCTTTAGATGAGAAAAAGAGTCAGAACTTCCAATCTGCATATGGGTTTTGGGTCAATGACTCAAAGTACTGAAGCCATTGAATCAGCATTAGAGCCAGACAACTAGTATTCAGAAAAGAAGAGCAGCAAAGGCATCCTCCATGTTTCCTTTAATGTAGAATTTGGCAGACTAGCACTCTCTGGGAGCATAATGTGGTCTACTAACCAGATGAGGTAAGCCGATAGAGATTTTGGTTTCCCAGCCAAAATTCATTCAGCTGGCTTCCAAACCCACGTTCATAGCTGTTCCAGTCACGGTCAAAATCCAATGACCCGTCCAGACGCCTCTGAAACACCTGGAGAAGAAGAGGTTAATGAGCTGCTGACACCAAAGCCTTTCTTTTGGTTTTGGCAAATATAGAAATTACTGTGTATATGCTTATGGGTGAAATGACCTCTCCTGACCTTTTGTGTCATTAGATCTGTCACCACAGAGCGACATGAAATATGCACTTTTTTTTGCATGTTTGCATATTTTAATGCGCGTTTAAATTCATGCGTATCAATGAGCACATTGTGGCACATTGATGTGAATGGACAAACACGCATTTTACGCGCGTAAAAATATGCAAAAATGCAGCAAACGTGTGTTTTTTAGCATTTTCATTGAAGTCTATGGGGCCAAGAAGCACAGAATCCGCCAAAAAGAAGCTCATGTACTTTCTTCAAGCGACAGGCATTTTGCTGCTAGCAACATAATGCTCAGATGTCAACATGGCCATAGAAATGAATGGGAATTTTTGGGGGGCGTTTTTTTTAGCAGAAAAAGCGCTACAAAATGCTCAGTGTGAATGAGAGCAATTGTTAGTTTTTGGTCAGTTTAATTTTTTTTTTAAGTTTACAGGTTCATGAAACGTTTTATATATTTTGCATGTATTTATCTAAAATATTAATTTTACATATGCACATGTAGTACAAGATACACTTGTGACACTGCTAGCATGCTAGGTTTTCTAATAAGAAAGTCCAGCACTGTGTGGCCCCCATTTGTATTTCTATATAAAGTTCAACAAAACCCCACAGCTTTTTATCTGTGTACAGTCGTGTGCCCTGCATGCAAGGACGTGACTGATTTGTTGCTTGATAATGTCTAAAATTGAAATCGTCCGATATTTGTAAGGTGTATGTGCACCTTAACTCTGGTGCATATTGGACCGCACGTTATAATTAGACACCCAGCACAAGTAGAGGTAACAATGGAATAGACTATGAAAACAGAGATTGTTACTACAATGTCTTTGCGACTAAATATTTCTGTGACTTCAATTGGACTTTGAGCCTTAGGCTGGGCACACACCTTACAACCATCGCAAGACTTCTGTCTTGCGATGGTTGTAAGGTACTTATAAAAACGTACGATCTGCCTATGTTGCATAGGCAGATCGTACTTGCGATGATCGCAAGCCACGCCCCCTGAGGGTGCGCACACCGGCCCGTACGGCTGTTATCGCACGGACATGCCACAAACCCGCCGAACATCGTGCGATGCTCGGCGGGTTTTCGAACACGTCCGTAAGTTTAAAGTCGTGCGACCTTACAGTAGTAGAGGTCGCACGGCTTCCACACACCTTACGATCATCGTACGATCGCGGGATTTCCCGCGATTATCGTACGATAATCGTAAGGTGTGTGGGGACCCTTATGCTTCTATCTCTGCTAATAGAGTGGGATCAGGTGACTTCCTGCTCTTTATCACTCAGCAGCCTGTGTAATCTGATCTCTCCCTCTAGCCTTTCTATAGCTGCCCATACACCTTACGAATATCGGCCGATTTTCGTATGCAATCGCGTTTTCGTCCGATATTTGTAAGGTTGATGGGCAGTGTACAACCGCAAATACTGTACAATCGATCGACTTTCGACTAACTAGCAGGTTAGAAAAACCTTGGTCGATCGTCCGATTTTCGCAAGGTTGGTGACGTTTCCGTACGTCAAAATTCGTACGTTTCACACTGCTCATGCGCAGGTGAAAATACGTGCTGTCGATTAACGCTATTCGTCCACGTGCTTTCTTGTAATTACCAAAAATCGTACGACATCATCGGGCGAAAAGTGTCGGCCGATGATCACAAGGTGTATGGGCAGCCTATGGCACAATTACACAGGAACAGCTGTTCTTTGCTTGAGCTCACCACCAATTTCAAATGTACCTAATATATACAATATATGTTTTTATTGTACTGTAACACGCACACATATAACCATGTCTGTTATGTTTGTACATAATGCCACTGCAGTGTTGGCTCTCGAAATACCTTAACAATCTGATTGGATGTAGTCCTTGTTCAGGTATTTTGAGAGCCAGGGGGGCCGACTAGCAGGATACTGAAACTTGGCCCAGTGGGAGATTCCTCCATCCACACAGTTTAGCGTAGACGAAGGAATCTGTTGCACTTTTTCCATCTGACCATAAAAAATCTGCAGATGATCTATAGGTGTATGGTCAGCTTTAGTGAGTCTCTGCTTGTAAATACAGCCATAAGTGTTCCTTCTGTACTGGATCTCATTCTTTAAGTAGATGTTTTAGGAAAGTGGAAATTTGGGTCTCCAAGTGCCGGTCCGCAGGCCAACTCCGGCCCGCGAGCCGGTACTATTTGGCCCGCAGCCAGCTGACATGTCAGGCACACGGTCGCAGACCGCGTACCTGACTTGCAGGAGCAGCTCCTGTCAGCTCTGGCATCCTTCGGCGAGAGCTCTGACAGCTCCGGCCAAAAGAAAGAATGTATGTGAGGAGGATCGATCCCTGGTTATCTGGGGGGATCGATCCCTGGTTATCTGGGGGTGATTAGTGAGGTCTGATTATTTAAGAGGGTGTGTTTAGGGGCGGAGTTAAGGCCGGGGCAGGGTAAGGGTTAGGTGGGGCAACTGGTGGCTAGTAACTCTTAAGGCCTGGCTAGTAGCTCAGGACTTGACATTTTGAGCCCTGTTTTAGGATATATATAGGTGTATGACCAGCTTAAGGAAGTCATTCTGGTTCCTACTAGAAACATTGCTGCTGTAACACCATTATCCAATGTCTTACAATCCAGCCTCCTCCATCAGTATCCATATCGCACAAGACAGCCAAAGGTCGCCGGCCATCGGGGTATATTGTATACCATCCAGTAAGGTGAAAGCCAATATCCTGCAGCTGCTTGCAGCTTCGAGCACCTACAGAAAAAAAAACCTTCATGTAAATATACAGTATGTGGCTTCCTGGTCACTCTACCTTAGTACCTTTTTCCCTAAAGAAGAACTCCGGGCATATGAAAACGTAACCCTAGTAGTGGGGCTATCCCATGCACTGCAAGGGTTAAGTGCTCAGTTTTGGTCTAGGGTCCAAAATAACAAAGATATACTCACCAGATTCTTGGTCCCACCTGCCTGGTAGACCACTCCTCTCTTCCCCTCCACTCTGACGGTCTAATGACCTGTGAGTCATGACACCCAATACAGTATATTAAACAGAGGACACAGAGGGAAATACTACTGCCAGAGCCCAGGGAAGAGAGGCTGCAGGGACTGGTCTAGCAGCCAGGCGGGACCGAGATTCGGGTGATTATATTTTTGTTATTTTAGACACTAGACCAAAACGAGCACTTAAGCCTTGCAGTGTGGGCAGGGCTGGATTTAATCTCCTCTCCTCAATGCGCCCCACTACCCGCCAAACGCCCCCATGGAGAATGACAGACCTGACGGCTGCATACAAGTGATCTCGGCGACATCGCCGAGATCACTTGTACAAAACAAGCGGCAGCTTCCCTGCTGTACATTTAGCTTTGCTTGCCCAAAGCAGGGCTGAATGTTGAAAACAACTATATGGAGAATGGCAGACCTGCAGCCTGCATATAAGTGATCTCGGCGACATTGCCGAGATCACTTGTAGAAAACAAGCGGTGGCCACTGGCAGAACTACCAGGGCCGCAAAGGTTGCAGCTGCGACCGGGCCCTGGAGTTCTGCCACTTAGAGGGGGTCCAGGACAGGAGGACGGGCCCCAGAGGTGGCTCTTGAATTAGGCAAGTTAGGCGGCTGCAGCGGAGAGAGAGAGCCGACACACAGAGCAGAGGTAACTCCCGCGCTCCTCTGCCGAGGCTGCACTCCACATTGCCCTGCAGAGAACGGGACGATGGAACTACCGCCGGGCGAGCACTGACAGGGGAGGAAGTGGAGGACGCCAGGGCTGTAAGAAGCCTGCTGCGGCAGGTAAGGAGCTGCAAGGAAAGGGCCCCCCCCGACCAGCCCACCTGAGACCCTGCAGAGCTTACCATAGACAATATCTGTGGGCTGTGCAGGATCTATGGTGGGTTCTGTGGGGCCTCAGCTGGGTGCGTTACTATGCTCTTCTCTCTCTCTCCTGGCTGTCTCTTCTCTCTCTCCTGGCTGTCTCTCTTCTCTCTCCTGGCTGTCTCTCTTTGCTCGCTCGCTATCCCTCCTGGCTGTCTCTCTTTGCTCGCCCTCTCTCCTGGCTGTCTCTCTTTGCTCGCCCTCTCTCCTGGCTGTCTCTCTTTGCTCGCTCTCCCTCCTGGCTGTCTCTTTGCTCGCTCTCCCTCCTGGCTTTCTTTCTTAAAGCAAAACCCCTCCTGGGTTTTGCTATAAGAAAAGGTGGCACCTCCCGGGTCACCTTACCATCACTTATTGCGGTTCAATTAAAAAAATGTCATTATGGGTGTAAGTGGGGCCTCACATGTGAGTTTTGCCTAAGGCCTCACAAACTCTAGAGCCGCCTCTGCGGGGCCCCTAGTAACCGCTGATTACCACGATATTTAGTATCCCGGTAACCCCTAACATCATTTTTTTTTTGGTCTAAATTTTTTTTTTAAAACAATGTACCTAATTTTTTTCCTCTTGGGGGGGGGGCCTTCATGGATTCTTGCACCGGGGCCCTAAGGTCACTAGTTACGCCACTGGCGGTGGCTGTACATTTAGCTCTGCTTGCCCAAAGCAGGGCTAAATGTAGAAAACAACTGCCCACCCGGTGCCCATTACTGCATGTTCTGGGCATCGGGCGATAAGGTTTCCACACCCCTGTTGCCCCCCTACTTCCTGCTGTTCCCCCGAAGCCGTGCCGTGGTTAGCCTTGTGGGAAATCTGGCCCTGAGTGTGGGGGTAGCCCCACTGCAGGGGTTAAATTTTCATATGCCAGGAGTTCTTCTTTAGAGTAGAAATAAGGCCTCCCATTAAAAATAGTGTGCTTTCCCACGCCATTAAAAATGCTTGTGCACTTACAGTTTTCTTCCCCTGCAAAATCCCACAAATACCTGTTGATCCGGCCAGACAATTCTACCTAATGCAACAATTGTGGCAACAATGCTGCACTGCTCCTGGATTCAGAGCAGGGTACCCCACCCTCTTGTACACTGCACCTGCTTGCACTACATTGGGATGAGAAGATGCTGCAGTCCTGCTCACTGATTTTTTGATTGACAGCACTGACTCTGTTAATGAAACCCTCCTACTATAAGCTGCAGTGTCTGGAATGGGGAGTATGTGAAAAACACATAAAGGAGGACTTAGCTCCGTCAGGGAAGGTAAAGGAAGTTTTTACTTTACTTTACAAGACATCAAATAGAACTTTAACAAAATGAATGCAGCTCTGCAATCATTAATACATCATCAAATGTGTTTTGTAAATGCGAGCGGTGTGTTGTGGAAATTTTACTAGGATGTGTTTTTTAGTGTATTGTAATGTTTTGTCATTAGTCTCTCAGTGTCTAGGTAAATAGACACTGGGGGATTAATCCATTGGAGGAGATATCTTATGCGTGGCGGAGCAGTGTCTTCTTGGCGAATGTATGGACGCCGGCTGGGGCCCCCCGTGCAATGCATGGATTTATTGGCTTGCGTGGATACATTTGTTTGGAACGCAGTATATGAAAGGAACGTGCGTTTGTTCTCTCTGGTGTGCCTGATCAACACGCTAGAGATAATGACGTTGTCCCTGTGTATGAGAATCCTAGTAACGTTATGTGGCATTGATCACTGAGCCACGCTGGATAAAGTCACTCCAGTGGTCATAGATTGTTCTACTACATGTGATTGTTCTACTAATGTGTTTTGTAGACTGGCTATGTATTGAGGAAGTGCTTGTTAACATCACTTCCTGGTTTGCTGGTTGTAGAAATCATCTGTTGGTTTTTCCATCACTTCCTGTCTCGCAATTTGAGACACCCCTTCCTGTCTGACATCACTTCCTGTTGGGCAGGTATAAACAATAAACATACCTGTGTTCAGCTCTCTTAGCATGGGATTAACGAACAAGCAACATCTGTCTCCTGACTCTACATGACTCTATAGAAAGGGATACTTCCAGTCCTCGCACAAAAGAATGCAGTACAACGGGGGAAATTCTTTGCGTTTGGCGCAGCTTAATGCGACAGGGATTTGTGCGTTGAACCAAGTGAATTTCCATAACAGGTGTAAGTACATTAATTTAGCCCCTGTATAGCAGAGCTTGAGTGTGAGTGGAAGAAACAAGAAGCCAATCAGTTCATTTCTAACACGAAGCATGGTGGGAAAAGGAGCAAGCATGCTGACAGAGAAATGATCTCATCAATGTGCTGTTTCTCCTTTCACTGCCCAGTCAAAGGTTGGGGTGTGTGGGATGATCTGGGCTCAGAGCAAATTGGTTAAAACATATTGGGCATCAGACTGAGGATATCTAGTGGCAGGAAAAAGTACTTTAGGGGAACTCTTTGGATTGAAGTTGAATATTGCAGTTCAAGCCAAATTATTTTATTTTTAATGGGCTATTTATTTTTATTTCGGCATTTTTGGCTGAAGTTCTGCTTTAACATTCCCAAGCTAAGGGGTATCTAAAACATGTAATACACTACAGCTTACCAGTCCTTGTTATATATATTATGTATATACTGCAAATGTTATGTATATTATGTATACATATGTATTGTACAGAAAAATATCTGTTCATCCAGGAGGGAATTCCATAGGCACAGCCACTGTCAGTTTCCTTATATGCTCATGGATAGACACCATTTATCAATCTTGACATAATTGATGACATTAATATTACATACTTACCGTTGAATTCTTTTGGGCATGAGGTACCCTTGTCACCTTTGTCACCTGTAAAAGTAAGAAATACTTAGTCTAGGGATCTTCTTTGCAAAACAAACAACCTACCAAGGACTGGAATAGAGGTGTATCTACAAAAGATGGCACCCCGCCCAGCTCCTGGCAATCAGCAACGTCACTGGTTGCCAGAAGCTGGGCAGCACGCCGACCAGAGCATCCTGTCTACATACACATCTCCCCGTCCACTGTGGTTGCTAAGAGCCAGGCAAGGAGATGTGTATGGCCCTACATATCTCCCTACCCGGCTCTTAGCAACCTGGCATGCTCTGGCTAGCGTCCCGCCCAGCTCCTGGCTCTGGTTGGCATCCCTCCTAGCTCCAGGAGCTGGCAGGACGCTGGCCAGAACGTCCCTGGGCACTAAGAGCCGGGCGGAGAGATGTGTATGGGAGAGGGATGGGGGAGAAAAGAAAGGCAGCCCTCTCTGTGGGTTGGCAAACTTTGCTTCCTCTACAGCCTTGAAATTTCAGCCCATGCAAACTCCTCCATCTGGCAATATGAGATGTTCTTAAAGTCCACCTACAGGTTTAACCATCCCCCCATGTTTAAAAATAAAGTTAGGAATGTCCTATTCACCCTTTTCATGCTTCAGCAGTGCATTCTGTGTCTGCCTCTGGCACTGGTTGTCACTCTTCTTCTTAGTTGAATGACACTTCCTGTAAGCTCTGGCTGTCAAAGACACGCCCCTAGAGGGTGCCTCATGAAAATCCTGGGCTTACCATGGAATTCAGCATAGAACGGTACTTATTACAACATGGGCACCATTCTGTTAAACAGCAAGGACCGCCGTTGCTGGAGAATGACCCAGCTCTTCATGTGGCCGCTTAGAAAACCCCATCTCCAGGCAAGTCTGATATGTAACCCTAACCCTCCCCTACCCCTGTGCAGCACCTCTGTTTATTTTTATTACTTACCTTGATCCTGCCACTTTGAAGTCTGGTTGACATAATCAAAAGGCTTCCCCTATCTTCAGAATCTTCTCTCTTGGAGAATCAAATGGAGGTGGCATCTGCAGGGCTGCTTGAGGTAACTGGTTTTCTCAACAAATAATGCTGCTATACATGATAGCAGACAGTATATCCCGATTAATTAAATTTGAAAGAATCCAGGAGATGTCTGGAGAAGTCCACCAATATTGAAGTTGGGGCACTTGCTTCAATGTAAAAAAATGTTTGTATGCTTTATATTATACAGAAATTAAGTGTAGGCTGGAGTTGGGCTTTAACCCCTTCATGACTGAGCTTGTTTTTAGTTTCTGTTCGTAAATGACTGACACACTTTTGACATTTTTGCTGTGTGATTCTTCCACGTTAGTAATATACTTTCTTACAAAGTGCACCCACACATATTATATATTGTTTTTTAGAGGACAGATAGGGCTACATATTTATATCACATATGTGTGTCTAACGCCTCACTTAGGACAAATAAAATATAAAAAAAAGAGGAAAAAAACGTAAAAAAAAGCAAACACTTTTTTCCCAGTTTTGATTTGTAGTATTTTTTTTACAAAACCAGCACAGCTAAAAAAATGCAATAAATACATTCATTTATTTGTCCCTTATTTTATTTTATTTTTTACACATTTTTTTATTTTTTTTACACTTTTCACAATTTTTTTTTTTTTTTACACTTTTCACTTTTTTTTTAACTTAAAAATGTTATTTTATTTATTTAATTATATCAAGCAGTCATTGTGAATTAATCTCACTGTTACTGCTTGATAAATTAATACATTTTTGGTTATTATCAGGCTGCTTCAAACTTCAGAACAGCCGATAATAAGTTAGTGACACTGATCCTGCAGCAGTTCAGGATTCAGCTGTCACTAAAGGTTTTCTGATTGTTGCAACAACGATCAGCAAACTGAAACATTCTTCTTCCAGGAATAGATACATTATAGGAATAGACACATTATGTATCTATTCATGAAAGAAAAAAAGAAAAAAAAGCCAGTATAGCTTGAGAGAGATATCTCTCTCGATCTATACGAGCTGTCAGAATGCCGGCAAAAGCCGGCATGTGTGTCCCTCTGCTTTGACTCTCAGACACCCGATATTAAGGTATCGGGTGTCTGAAAAAGGTTAACCCTTTCATTAATGAATGCCTCTGTAGTAAGGGCATCCATTAATGAATGTTAAAAGCTGATTCTCAGCGATTAATAGCCCTCTAAAGAAGCAAATAACTCGTCACGTACAGTGTACGTGACAAGTCATTTGGTCCCTTTGTGGCTGGACGTACAGTGTACGTCTCCCGTCACAAAGGGGTTAAAGTTCTACCTTTGTAAGTGATAAGCATTTATTGTGTTAATGTAGAGGTGCAGTGATGATGTATATGTGTGTACATTTTTATGACTCACATTGCAGGCTTCCTTCATTTTTTTATGAACTTATTTTTAGGCCTGAATCCTAGAAATTCAAAATTTTCTCACAGGAAACTCAGTCTGACACTGGGGTTGTATTGTAAAGCAGGCTGTGAACAACTGCCCCCTCAATGTGATTCTGTGTAACACAATCACTGAACACCACAATATACACTACCCGGGGGGGCACTGTCCGGGGGGGCACTATGAATACTAATGAATGAGGGGAGAGCACTTAGTTGTAACTTACACATATTGCTTGCAAAGTTCAGAGGTGGCCATATCTATGAGGATATTAATGGGAAAGCTAACAAAAAAATGTAAGTTTCTGTGTTCATATACAACTAGTGCATATGCCTACTTCATATACACTCTGTGTAAGTTGCTGGCATATGTTTTTTAAAAGTCAGTCTGGGCTTTAAGCTATAATCACTTCCAGTCGGCAAATTATTAAAATATTGTCTAGCAACATGTTTTCTAAAAGCTATATCTTGTGTGTTGGGTCTATCAGCTGTCCAGGCACCCTAGAAGCTGTCCAGGGTTATGGGGGAGGGCTCAGAAGGAGGAGGAGGCAGGTCTTAGAACTATACTGCTAAATGTAATGTACAGTACTAGGGAGTGACTACAGGATGCATCAGTCTCTGGGCTCATGAGCTAGCTGCTCCATTTTCTACATTTTCCAGATTTGTACTCACAATACATACTGTCAAGCATGGCTCAGTGTACTGGGTCGCCATGTTCAAAGCTGATAAGTAGGAGGACATACAGTGGTACCTCGGTTCATGAACGTTTCTGTTCGCAGACAATTCCGTTCGCGAACGGGAAGTTCAGCAAAATGTTGCCTCCGTTCGCGAACTCCGCTTCGGGTGAAGAACACAACTGCAGCCATTTTCCCTACTCTGACACATGGTCATGGCTTCCTCTAGTCAAGATCACAGTTTGATTCGGTTCACGACCAAAACGGTTCGCGACCAGAATCGCGGAACAAATTAAAGTGACATTAAACCCTCAGATTTTTTAACATAAAACAATACTGTAATGTGCGCCTTACTGTAATCCATGGTTGTTTCCCTTCTCTTTGCTGCTCTTCCTTTTAAATCTGTATCTGTTCTCATGCTGGGGGAGAACTTCTGTTTTGCAGCAGACTGCCTTGTCTCTGGAATGGCTACATGGTGTCTGTGTATCCGTTTCTATAGGCTTGTAACCTGAGCCAGCACTACAGGAAGAGGCCCTGAGCTGAAAAGGGAAGTTCTCCCCAAGCATGAGAAGACATGAGGATTTAAAAGGAAGAGCAGCAAAGAGAAGGGAAACTACCATGGATTACAGTAAGGCACACATTACAGTATTGGTTTATGTTAAAAAACCTGAGGGTTTAATGTCACTTTAAGTTCGTGAACTAAGGTACCACTTTACTTAGGGCAAGTGCTGTAAATGGCACACCTATCTGTTGACTTTTAGGAAACTGGAGAGTTAATTATGAAATATGATAACATCTTTCAACATGCACACCTTGGGTTCCTGGATTCCCAACAACTCCTCTTGCTCCTGTGAAAAAAAAACAACAATTTCATTTAGACAACTGAAGTGGGTAAAGGTAACAAAATAAGGGAATACACCAAGGCATAACTGCAGAGAGTGCAATGGTCCTTGGGACCATATGGTAGCTGCCCATAATTGCAACTCCTTACCCTCCATTTACCACCCATGCTTACATATTGTATAGAATAAAACAGAGGTAGCCAAACTTTAGCTCCCCAGCTGTGCCTCTCGAAGGTAGGCTAAAGTTTGGCTACCCCTGGCGTAAAACAATTGTCTTTCCTTCGGATCTCTTTCTCTTCTCCTTATGTCTTGCTAAAGCTTTTAAGAGGCTTCTTAAAGTGATCCTTTGCTTTTTCCTTGCAGGGCAACATATTAGGTTCACTTAATTGTTCCCCACCTCCAGCTGTATATACCAATATTGCCTTTTCTCCTACGCTGTACAAAGTCAATGAAAATTCTTGTGTGAGCCCCAAGTTGTTCTGCCCAGAGCATACAAAGATCTATGGACTGTCTCTCTGTCCCCGTGTCTCAGAGTACTGGCAAAATATCGGTAGGTAGGTGAGAGAATCACATACTACCCAACAGTGGGCACGGTTCTGTTTTTATTTACCTCTATAGTCTGAGTCTGAATTCTGCAGGAAGAAAAATGTTTGTTACCTGCTAGTCCAGGAGGTCCTGGTAGTCCATCCTTTCCGGGATCTCCCTTTTCACCTATAGAAAGAACGTTTCAGTAAGTATATTTTAATGTTAATTTAACTCTAACAACACATTTAGACAGTTTTCATGTATTAGTACAATTGTTTTGTCATATTTTCCGTATTTCATACACGATTCATTGATACTCTGCCCAAATACATACTTACCTTTCCTGATGCCTAAGCTGCTGAATGGCGCACCTATGTTCAGACATGGTCCCCTGAAGTCCACTGGAAAACCAACACTTCTGGGAATGTCTATCTCCTGGGGCCTCTGCCACTGTTATTGATTTCTTCCGCTGATCTCCATGTCTCTACATTTGCCTGTAATGGCTGGAGGTCAGCATGAGGAACCTGTGGGAGTTGTGGAGGCCTCACAAGATCAACACTCCTGGAAGTGTCTGTGTCCCAGCTGACTTTGAGGGACCACTTCTTAGGATTGGAGTGATTTTCAGCACAGGCACGTATTTACACTCTTTTTTTTTTTTTTACAATGTATACATTGTTCGCGGCGATATGTAACATGTGCGACGTAATGGGTGCAATCGTCGTTTTCGCAGTTATGCGCACCTGACGCATGTTTACATGCGTGTATGTAGGGGTGGGGACTTTAAAAAAAAAATTGTTTTTTTTTGTGTAACTTTAAAAAAATTGGGGGGAAACTTTAAATATTTGTACAATTTTTTTTTTTTCACTTAACTGCTCGCGCGCGGCGCGCCCGAGCGGGCGGATGTAACAGGACGTGTATACACGCCCAGTTACATCCAAGAAGCTCCCGGCAGGCCGTGTATACACAGCGGCTGGCCGGGAGGTAGTTAAAAACAACTCTTGTATGTATTTCTATTACAATTCTGATGTTATAGAAGGATAGTATATTCTGGGGCTTTACAGCTCCTTCAACACTTATTTTACCTTCCTCTCCTTGTGGTCCTCGACTTCCAGGTATGCCGGGAGGTCCTTTTGGATAAAAAAAAAAAGAAGAAAGGCAAGTGTATGAGTAAAGTAAAATATTGAAATGCTTCCTGACACACTGAGGAACTGATGTGCTTTACCAACCCGTGCATCTAACCCATATGGCAGTAAATATATATATTTATTGTAAAAATGTGTGGCAATGCCACAATGTAATTTGGCAACATTGCCCCCAGGAACGCTCAGTTAGCGGGGCTAAGAGGTTCCAGGATGTTAAAACTTTTCCAGGGAAGAAACTGACAGGGTTATTCACAAAAGGGTGAAGAGTTTGGAGAAGGCAGGAGAAGTGAACAATCTAGGACAACAAAGCTGAACTGTAAAGTGAGCTGAATTGTAGAATGTTTCCAAATCCTTTGCTGGAAGCAGTGCATGTTGGGATATGTGGTCTTGAGAAATCGAGATTGCATCATATCAAGCCGCAGGGAAAGAGACGCAAGGCATACTGGGAATCCAGGAAGTTGTTGAAAATGGTGGCCAGACAGAAGGCAGAACTCACTACATAGAAGGGATTTTTTTAAAGTAGACTTTGATTGCATTATTAAAAACAACTCTAGTATGTATTCCTATTACAATGCTGATGTCATAATAGGATAGTATATGCTGGGACTTTACAACTCCTTTAAAAGAAAGTGTATTGCTATAATACCTCTCGGGCCTGGCATTCCTGGGGGTCCTGGGTGACCCTGTTTCCCAGGAGCTCCTGGACATCCTTGTAGAATGGTCAGCTTATCAGAGTCTCCAACTTCAAGGATTTTCACCTCTATTAAAGAAACCCATAAAAATGCAAAAGTCAGAATAATATGATGCCACATAACTTAAGCCTAATACACACTACCAGATGTTTGTCTCTTGTAAAATGTACTGGTGAAGTATTCATTTCTTTGAGGTATTTATTTGTGCTTTACTAACGCCTCACCTTCAACCTATTCCCTAAACTTTTCTAGCCACAAAACTAACCCAATATCTAATCCTTAGTCTAACCCAGGGGTGCCCATTAGGTTGATCACGATCTACCAGTCGATCGCAAAGCGAACACTGCAGATCGCGATTGGCTCACTGACCTGTGTCCTGTGCTACCGCAGGGCTGGACACCTCTCCCCGTGTGCAACATCGGCCACATTTGGCCACATGAGCACCGCGGGAGGATAGGACGCCGGCGCACGAGAGGAGTTCTGGGAAGCTGCTACAGTGGAGGTAAGAAAAGACAGACAGGAGAGAGACAGCAGAGAAAGTGAGAGAAGAGACAGCAGAGAGAGAGAGAAGAGATATAGCAGAGAGAGTGAGAGAAGAGACAGCAGATAGAAATGGGAGAGAGCGAGGAGAGAGAGTGCGAGAAGAGAGAGAAGAGACAGCCAAGAGAGGGCCGGTTCACACCACAAAGTCTGCGTTCCAGAGTCTTCGGCCTCTAGAACGCACTGTGGAGCGCAGGCACATTAGTACCTGTGTTCCAGTCCAGATCGCACTGGACCGGAACGCAGGCACTAAGGTGCCTGCGTTACGGGTGCGGGCAATCGCACTGCGAGTGGGGGTGTGGCTGCCCTCTCTTGGCTGTCTCTTCTCTCTCTTCTCGCACTCTCTCTCCTCGCTCTCTCCCATTTCTATCTGACTTTAATGCACCGCCATGCCCCCTCCCGCCCCTGAATGCAGGTGTTTTTTCATTGGTAGATCTCATTGAGCTCGTCATTTGAAAAGTAGATCTCCAGATGAAAAATTGTGGGCACCCCTGGTCTAACCCCTAACCCCAGATCCATACTGTCAAGCACTGGACAAATACTTGGCTGTTGAATCCCCCATGGATTGGTACAACGTCCAAAACTCCAACCAGAGACTCTCCTTGATTATTAGTGACGCAACTCTTCTTAATTCAATAACATGACATCTAAATTTCATTGCTATTAAGTGTTTTCTCCATGTGCTGCTACTTTGATGATGATAATAATAATGATAATTCATATTCACAAGCAATATATTCTTTTTTTTTTTTAGATAGTGGGTGAAGCTATGCAAATAATTTATTTATACCCATTCTGTGGCTGACTGTCCACACAGGGATGTTGGTTTTTAGCACAGATACAACCTAAATATAGAGCCATTATTTAAAAGTCCATCCAGAACCACTGGTTTATAGCACAGATACACCTAAAATATAGAGCCAATTATCCAAAAGTCCATCCAGCACCACTGTTTTATAGCACAGATAGAGCCTATGTATAGAGCCATTTATAACAGAATCCATCCAGAATGGCTGGTTTATAGCACAAACACAACCTAAATATAGAGCCATACAATCAAATGTCTACCTAGATTATTTGTAACACATATACAATCTATATATAGAGCCATTTATTCAAATGTCCATCCAAAACCTCTAGTTTATAGAACAGATGGAACATAAATATAGAGACATTTATCAAGCTGTTCATCCAGATCTGTTAGTTTTAGAGAAGATTTTAGAGCCAGCTATTCCAATTTGCACACAAATACTTTAGGGTTTGCGGCCATTGTCAATCAAGCTATAGATACAGTCCCATAGCTTTCATAGAATAGCACTTGGAGAATACCAAGCCATGGACCTAAAATGACAATTTGCATGGCTCCTGACAATTTGCTTGGCTCCACTGACTACCCTACATAAAGAATAAACGTCTTGTCTTTTTTTTACATTTTCTTTCATGCTTCTTGTTTGGATTTGTGCCTTATGAAATAAACATAGGCATCAAGTCTAAATCCATCTGGACACTATAGATCACAACTACAATTATATATATATATGCCAGCTAGACTAGTATGGTACAGTTGTACAAATCATTGAGAAAACCCTTTAGGCATTAATGGAAGGTAATTACAGACATAAACAAAACAAAAATAGAATGAATAAGATAATACAAAAAATTAAGTGATACAAACATTATCACAATAGTACCAAGACAATTCAAAAATGTATTGCTAAAAAAGATTAACATACCCTTTGCTTTATATTTTAGTCATATCTGTGGTCTACTTACCAGGACATTCTGCAGCAGTGCTCTGTTCCAAAGTCTGCGCTGCGCATAGGCCGATGATGGCACAGAACACCCACAGCGACATTAGCTTCATGTCTGCCCCGTGCCTTTCTAGTTTCTGACCCTAACGTCTCCTAATTCCTAACTTTATTACAGACAAAAGAGAGTGTCTCAATATTTACCTACCCCAGCTTCCCGTAATTTCATTGCTGAAGGTCTGGTAAACAATCACTGTTCAGTTTATTTGTTCTGTCAAGGGTAAAGGCAATGCCTCCTTAATAATTACCACATTATGTGGGATTTAATCCCACCTGTTCTTTAGAGGATCAGGTTATTTTTTAACATCTGAATTTCTTTAGAAATAGATATTAACGTGTATACAAATCTATGTTTTCCAGTTTGGGATAAAGAAGGGAAAGGTTAGAACACCTGTCATTTTTCTTATCGCTGTCCGTGCCCGGGACATTTGCCTTCTCTATTTGAAAGTGAGAGGAAACAGGATCAGAGAGGAGATCTCCCAAATAGGGGACCTGTTCCTGTGACAACTGCCTTAGAGAGGATCTCCCCTTATTTTGGAGAGAACTCCTCTCACTTCCTGCTGTGTCTACAGGAAATAAAGAAAAATCTCAAACAAAAATTAACAGTTTTAACCTTTCCCTAATCTATCCACAACTTAAAAAGAAAGCTTTGGTTTTATTGGTTGGTGTGCATTGCAATATAATGATCCAGGAATACATTTTAGCATAACACAGCACGTAACAATGTGCGACAATGCATCATAACAAGCTGCTGTGCATAGCTTTGAATTTATGTAAAACATTTAGAAAAGATAAAACTCAAGCGCTGTGATTCATTGTAACAAACCAGTGCACACCGCACAGCAATGTGCATGTTATGTGGACCATAATGAGCAACTACAGGTGTGAACGATGTGTGTATTGCACGTGTACTTTTGTGTTTTGTATGTAATTTGTGTCTGTCACATCTATACAGTAAGGCTATTTATTTGCACCGCTGCACACCAAGAACATGCACTATAGCAATGTTGTACTCATTCCCACATTGCACAAATGTGAATGGGGTTTTTAAAAATGTGTTACAGTTTTTATTATTTTGGTATCATTTTTTTTTTCTACTATTGGGGCTTGAATGAAATATCAGAAGTCTGAGCAGACCGCTGATATTTCACTTTTGAAACAGAGAAAGAGATTGAAGACAGTCCTCAACCTCCTTCTCTCTGCAGCTGCAGCACTTAGTACAGTGAACAGAAGTGCTAAGTATTCAGTATACAGAACTTCCTGTTCATTCACAAAACAATAGATAGTAAACACGGCCATTTATGATCAGCACTGAACACCCTGCTGTCCATTCAAGAGAGGCAAAGAATCAGTGACATATATTTCCTGAACCTCCGCTCTGCCATCCTGAATGATCCAATCCTCTCCGATGGGTACTGGCTCCTTCTCGCCTGCACAGCCCGCTGTCTCCGCTGCCACAGGCAGGAATTGGAAGGCACAGCAGAGATAGCGGGCTCTACAGGAGACACAGAAGGGCACTGTCTACTGGCAGCCAGTGGCATCTGTGTCGGCAGAGCGGAAGTAGCAGCAGGGGTGTCATTTTGTGAATGAATAGCTATGATCAGTCACTGATCATAGCTTTGCTTTTACTCAGCACAGTCGGGGGACAATTCTGCTGTAAGTTCATGGTTGCTTAGATTCCTGGCGTCAGTGGCGGAACTACCGCCATAGCGACCCATGCGGGCACTATGGGGCCCGCGACAGAGGGGGCCCAGTGAGGAGCAGGGGCTGGCGTTATCATCAGCTTCATAATTTTTTTGCTACCCTCCCCAAACCTTATCATGCTAAGAATTACTTGTACCCTCTAGAAATGCTTTTTTCCTAAGATGAGCACCCAGGCCATGGGGTCCCCAGACTCTATCAGCTGCTGCTTCAAACTGATGTTACCTCGCCACCGAACTATGTCCAGCAATGGGAGAGGGACTTCTCTACCATTCTAACTGAGGAACAGCATACCAGGATTTTTCGTTGGTAATTGATTTTTTTAGCATGCATATAGCTGAATCCTCCTATAAATGTTTGGCCCACTGGTATTATACCCCTGCACAACTAGAAGCAGGTTGTGGTAGTAGAGGAACCTTTCCACACCTGTGGTTGACCTGTGTGAAAATGAAGACATTTTGGTACTGAGTAGTTCGCTATATCTTCCTGATCACTGGAATGACTATCTTGCTGTACCCTTGGGTGTGTTTGTTTCATTGCTCTACGCTATCTGCTAGCGCCTACAAAAAGTATTTGATTCTACATCTCCTCAATGCAGCGAAAATGCTGATACCTACATACTGGCGTAAGACAAACATACCTTCTAACCAACTAAATACGAGGCCCTGTGGCAACCTTGGCTGGACTTTAAGTCTACCACTCTATACATCCAGATAATATCATAGATCAATTTTTATCTTTTGCATTGGTACGTACCTGTACATTCCTGTGCATGCGGGGAAGTCCACATCCAATTTAGCATTCTCTTTCCTTGCTTAGTCTAATCATATTTCTATCTCCTTTACTCTTTTCCCGTCACTTTATGTTTACTCCTTTTCCTTTAGTCTATAATCTATTTTGTTTTAACTTCCGGTTACAGTTGCTATTATGTTATTTCCAGCTGACAATATGGTTACATTCATTGATGTTACTCATTCATCAATACATGTCAACTGTATGTGATTGTGTATTGTATACTGGAACATACTCTTTTAACTTAGTCTTTACATTATGAAAAACATAATAAACTTTGATTAAATAAAAAAAAAAAGTTCATGGTTGCTGAAGCATCCATGAACTTTCTTCTCTACCATTCTAACTGAGGAACAGCATACCAGGATTTTTCGTTGGTAATTGATTTTTTTAGCATGCATATAGCTGAATCCTCCTATAAATGTTTGGCCCACTGGTATTATACCCCTGCACAACTAGAAGCAGGTTGTGGTAGTAGAGGAACCTTTCCACACCTGTGGTTGACCTGTGTGAAAATGAAGACATTTTGGTACTGAGTAGTTCGCTATATCTTCCTGATCACTGGAATGACTATCTTGCTGTACCCTTGGGTGTGTTTGTTTCATTGCTCTACGCTATCTGCTAGCGCCTACAAAAAGTATTTGATTCTACATCTCCTCAATGCAGCGAAAATGCTGATACCTACATACTGGCGTAAGACAAACATACCTTCTAACCAACTAAATACGAGGCCCTGTGGCAACCTTGGCTGGACTTTAAGTCTACCACTCTATACATCCAGATAATATCATAGATCAATTTTTATCTTTTGCATTGGTACGTACCTGTACATTCCTGTGCATGCGGGGAAGTCCACATCCAATTTAGCATTCTCTTTCCTTGCTTAGTCTAATCATATTTCTATCTCCTTTACTCTTTTCCCGTCACTTTATGTTTACTCCTTTTCCTTTAGTCTATAATCTATTTTGTTTTAACTTCCGGTTACAGTTGCTATTATGTTATTTCCAGCTGACAATATGGTTACATTCATTGATGTTACTCATTCATCAATACATGTCAACTGTATGTGATTGTGTATTGTATACTGGAACATACTCTTTTAACTTAGTCTTTACATTATGAAAAACATAATAAACTTTGATTAAATAAAAAAAAAAAGTTCATGGTTGCTGAAGCATCCATGAACTTATGGCGGCTTGTATGTAGCCGCCATAAGAGATACTGAGCTACCCAGCTACAAGCACTTGTGTTCCACAGTATTTCTTACATTGGTGGCAGTGAAATTGCATTTCGTGTATTTTGTGCTGCAAGTCATTGTAATGCAGCAAACGCTTTGGACTAATAAAGGTATTAGTTCTCCGGTAGAGTCTTCTAACCAGAATATTTACTTTTAAATGTTTAAAGTAGGGATGCACCGATATATCGGCCGCCGAAACATATCGGACGAAAATTGCACTTTTTGCAAAATGCCGAAAGTGCCATTTTCTGGCCGATACAGTGGCCGATACTGGCCGATCCATTCTTTCTCTGGGCGCTGCTCTGTGTCCCAGCCAGGAGGATAGAAACTGTCACAGGCGGTGTTCTATCAAAGATTGTGACTGCGTTAGAATGTGGTCACACATTTTAACGTAATCCCGCCCAGTTTTTCAGTGGTGGAATGTGTGACCGGTCACGTGGTCACATACTTTAACGTGATCCCGCCCAGTTTTTGGCGGTGGAATATGTGACCAGCAAAAGGTGAAGGATTCCAAGGCTTTCTCAGCTGTTCCAGGGCACATCACCATCGCAGATCGTATGTGGCGGGACTACCGCCATAGCGACCCATGCGCGCGATATGGGGCCCGCAACCGAGAGGGGCCCGGTCAGGAGCAAGATAGTAAGCTTCCCGGCCGGGTCCCGAGATAGGAGCACACACAGTGGCTGGCCGGGCATAGCGATGTGGAGGGTGAGGGGAGCGCCTGTCAGCGGCCGGTGAACAGAACCCGGCACAGTAAATGATGCAGCCGTACTGGGGCCGTACTGGATGCAGCAGCCTGATCAGAGAGATCCACTTTTGGCTGTGCTGCGAAGAACTGTAAGGAGATATGCTTCAAGATTTTGCTATGGGGCCCTGTGATTTCTAGTTACGCCCCTGTGTGGAGGAGAACCGATCTGCCCTGAAACCGCTGATCGATCCTGAAATGTCACTTATATCCGACTTTGTGAGTGCAATCTCACATTCCACAAATTCTGATAGAAGTGACATTTCGAGACCAATCAGCGGTTCCAGGGCACATCGGTTCTCCTTTCACATACCATCTGCGATGCCGATCTGCCCAAGAAAGCCTTGGAATTCTTCACCTTTTGTCGGTCACATATTCCACCGCCGAAAAACTGGGCGTGATTACGTTAAAATGTGTGACCACGTGACCGGTCACACATTCCAACCCAGTCACAATGTTTGATAGAACAGGGGCCGAGCGCTGCGAGAGGAGAGTGCTGTGAGCGGCCGGCATCTCTCCTCCCACACTGCTCAGCCTCCTGTGACAGATCGGCAGAGCGGTGTGTGGGAAGAGACAGCCAG